GCCGTTCCCTTGTCCGGGAATGGTGACGTGGAGTCTCTTCCTATATGTCGTGCTATAAACGCCCTGGCCAAACTTAATAAGGTCCTCAGGACCCATAGCCAAAGCCTGATTAGCACCAGTAGTATCATTCTCCGCGGTTTGGTTCTTGCTCTCACCATTGTTAGAGCTATCTGGTCTCGAAGTGTCCATCATCTGTACCAACGGCATAATGTTAAAAACAAGTCATTTACCCCTTTATATACCCTTTTATTACAATTACATTTAAACAAATATTTACAAGGCCAACAATTCATAAATGGGCAGTAGCAGATGAGCCATGTCGCAGGCACAAAGCTTGTGGGGAGGTGCCGGAAGCGATTCGTCGATATTAGCGTTGCAAATTTGTTTATCTAGAGTGTAGATTTTGCATCTACCCTCTACGGCGGCGGCATCGACGTCGGAGAGGCGAATACCAAGAGGCTCGTTGGTGGTCACAATGACCGGCAGGCGGTCAAGGAGATCGGGATTCTGGTATTTAACAGACACCTCAAAGGGCTCGCCTCCTAGGACCTGCTTGAGATCCTGCTGGTTAGCAGCGCAGATCCTGGGCTCCTCCATTAACGCAGCCTTCCTATTGAGAAGGTTTTTGTACGCGAAGGCTGATGCCTCCTGCCTGCGCATGACACTGCCGTGCTCAAGGATGGTGGATATCGGCTTACAAATAAGCGATTTGCCCGTATTGGTTGGGCCATACAACACAAGAGTGTTAATTTTCTCATCTTCGCAATTCATTACAATGCGAAGCGTGATGGCAAAATGGACAACGGCTATTTCATTGGCTGGAAGACAAATCCGGATTTGACTGCGTTACTCTGACATGGTTAGAGTAGTCGTCTACTGATCACATATGGTTGGATTCTTCAGTGAAAGATTGGGAGCTTGTGCATTGATGCAACGAAAACATGATTAGATCTGCTTTCAACAATCACCCTAACCTTTGCTCCTGTCAGCTCAGAGGTGTAACTGTTAGTCATGATGGCATTTATACGGGC